CAATCTATCTCTTGTACTGTCTTCATGATTTTAGCCGGGCTGATTTTTCTATCACTCTTCACCTTAACCACGAGGACCAGACAATCTTGAAGTCCTCACCCCACCCACATGATTCACCCCCACTCAACACCTTTTGCTCCCCTTCAGCAACACCTCTCCAGACACACTGATACTGCTCAACACAGTGTGATAAAGGGCCTGCGTGAGACAGGGCTGCCACCCTTGGCGCTGGAAGCAATGTCTCTTCCAATAGGGGAAATACACCCCAAAATATAATTCACACTTATTCATTTTGTAGTAATGTGTAACTATAATTCCTGGCATGACAGTCTGCAGAGATGATGTCATGAGATATAAATCATGCAGCTGCTATAGACAGTAAATAAAACAAAACCTGAGATATTTTAATGGATTATAGACATGTTCTATTGCACAGCTGTTGCTGTCCATTACAGCTCAATGGATGACAAAAAGTGAACAAAATGACTACTTCATCATCAATACTTTCACTGGTTCCGTGTCTATGGAACCATTTCACCTGATGACATCATGAATTAATTTAACTTATCAATAAGTCACTGTGTTAACTTGAAGTCCTGATGAAAAAGTGTGTCTTGAACGCCTGAACCACTTTAATATGTTAACTTGCTTTTCACAATGTTGCAACCCTTTTGTTTTAACCATTCTTATTTGATTCTATTTTATACTCATCTTAATTTGGCCTTTTCTCAGCACTGTCCATGTTTTTGTAAATAATAAAGGGTTTCTGAATCTCCCTGTTGAACAAAGAATAAAAAACAGAGAACAATCTTCATTCACCTTGCGGCATGCAAAGAACATGTTTTCTTTAGGAATTCAAGTGAATATGTGGTGAGTAATGTGATGTACCAAGTGAATTTAATCAGTGGTATAAATAAATGTAACAAATCATCTGTTTCAGGGTGGATATTCCCTTTAATGAAGTTTGGTCATAACTCAGATTTATGAACATATGCTGCTATGACAGTAGAGTTCTATGATTTATTGATCTTATTTATGGAATCCTCTCTTCTCTTGGCTGCTAACCCAGAGTGGAGCCAACTTTTACACCCTCAGCTCAAAGAGCCAGGGTGATGGTGTTTCTGGGTGAAGGATCCTCCACACAGCTGACGGTCTCCTGCAGGACCACATGACGTGTTCAAAAGTGCCCCCCATCTGTCACTTGAAAGGGCCCTGTCCTCAAAGCACAATAGAGACAGAGGTTATAAACAAATGGTTCTCAAAAGATGTGAGTCCGGTTGGACAGATTGGACGGAGCTTGTTGTTCCACAGCCGCTCTACAGGAGGGAACGCAGTGATTAGATTTTCACATGGCTCATCTGAAGCTCATCTGAAGCATCACTGTCCTCTGAGGTCTGATCTGACAGACTTTAGTCTTAAGAACACTGCTGGAAACCCATAATGTTCCTATTATTTGTCAATAACGACCTGGCAGTTGTTACTCACTGTTGGGTTGGAGATGAGAGGCTGGATGAAGAGTAACCGTTACGGATACGGTTCCCTGATTGCTTCCATTTGAAAATCCCCTTCCAAGTTCTCGCTTTATGACAGTTGCTAATCAAACCCCTGTCTTTCATTTTGATGGTGAAGTTATCTATGGTTAGATGGGTTGAGTTGGTAATAGAGAGCAGGCAGGAATGAGTATAACCTTTATTAGTTTATCATTGTGGTCTGCATATTCCAGTCCTTTTATCAAAAGAGGACCAAATGAAAGGATTTCAAAATAAAACATGGAAAACGTTTTTATTGATTGTGTAATAAAGGTTTGGCATTGAACTAGAGACATACTTTCCTGTCTTTTTTAATTTCCTTTTAAATAATCTTGAAACATTTATAGCAGCACATATTTTCAAAATACATTTTATTTGGATACATTTGCAGTGGTCATTGGGGCCCATAAGTATCCTGATGGGAGTATGGGAGTATTTTCCAGCGGCATAATAGTAACTCTGCACCCTTTCAGGCGCTGATCCTCCTGGGTGAAAGTTGAGTGTCCTGCCCCCCCTCGGTGAGCCTCAGATTTGTGATTTTGCCTCGAACCTCTTGAGGACCTATTTGAAGGACAAAAGCTCAGTCCTGAGCCCTCCTCCCAAACATCACACTGTATTCACAACTCCATTCTTCATACGGGCAGCTAGAAGTTGAATATTTTCCAAAAACATTTAAACTGGCAGTATTTTTCCAACAGAAGAATTGTGATACACTGTTTTACAAAAGCAATTAAGTATTCCATTCTATTTATTTGTATTTACATTTCAGGCTCTTGAAATGTGTCCTTGGAGTGGAATGGATTTATCTCATTTAAATTGAAATTCATTTGAAAAGAAACGTCCCGCTCAGGCTCAAAGCACATCTGGATTAAACAATAGTGTTGTTAAAAAAAAGAAATGTGAACGCATGTTTTCAAAATTTGCAAATCTTTTTACTGTAAATAGAATTTGACATCTTTTCATAGACACATAGTAGTTTTTTTGCCAGTGACCCC